AGATAGATAGATAGATAGATAGATAGATAGATAGATAGATAGATAGATAGATAGATAGATATAGTGATATAGCTACAGATACAGATATAGATAGATATAGATAGATATAGATGATTTAGATAAAGATATAGATTTATACAGGTAGTCCTTGACTTACAATAAATAGTTCATTTAGTGATGGTTCAAAGTTACAACGTCGCTAACAATAATGACTTATGACCATTTTTCACACTTGCGGCATCCCCATAGTCACATGATCAAAATTTGAATGCTTGGCAAAGTGATTCATATTTATTTCAGACATATTCCTTCTATGCCTACTCACACTTGGTCAAATAAAGTATTCAGTTCAATTCAGCTCAACTCAACTCAAGTCAAGTCAACCCAACTATCAGTTAGCACTATTTTGGCACTAAACGACAGAATTAAGGAGGGGTTGGACTTAGTCCATTGGTGGCTATGTAGTGACTCTAAGCTAATTCCTCTTTTGACTCCACCTCCAGGCTCTCTCACTCCTTCTCCTATAATATCCCTGCCCTGCAAGCAGAGATGGCCGAACCTACATTCCAATGTCACAATGTCACTATCCTGTCATCCTTGTTGATTAGTGACAAAACACTCCACATTCATGCAATGACCACTCCAGGGCTGAACAGAGCAGATATTACAGGCCTTTCAAGAACCATTATTCCTTTTTATTCCATCATCAACCTGTCTCCCTACCCAGAGGAAGTTATAAGACAATATTCATGCATTGGGTAAGGTTTCTATATATTACTAGATTTTTTAAAAAATGCTAATTCTCCATCCAGAACTTTGATGGAAGATCCCCAGTGATTTATCTACCTAATGGTTGCCCTTCCACTCAGTACTTTTCTTTCAGCTCAAGTTAAATTGCTTCAGTTAAATATCTGGGCTGCTTTTTCCGAAGAAATATCTGTCTCATTGCAGCCAAATACTTGCCAGCATCGTCCACAGCCCGGTTCAATTCCACTTTCCATTCTTCTACAAAGATCCACCCAGGAGGACACAAGATGTCTTCTTTTCGGGGAGCAGGAGCCCCACTCTAAGAATGGTAAGGGACAACACAGAGTAGAAAATGAGAGGAAGGAAGATCTAAACATATATTTGAAATGCAACCTTTTGCAACCTTTCTGATTCCCCACCACCTGGAACAGGCCAAAAATGGGGTACACAGCAACTGAAAATGGGGCATGTTGGAGTCTGAAAAGGGGTGTGGAGGCCAAAAATGGGGCACGCGGAGGCAGCAATAGGCTATGGCAATTCCTGCAGCCTGAAACAGCTGATCGTTGGGAGGCCAATCCAACCGACAATCAGCTGCTTGTGCTACTCAGGCTGCGCTGAAGCTGAAACAGGCTATTTGCTCTTTGCTGCAAGGAGGGAAATTGCTGGGAGACGGAGGCAGATTATTTTTCTTGTTTTCCTCCCCTAAAGCCAAGTGCAGTCTTATACTTCGGAGCATCTTATATTCTGAAAAATACGGTAATTGTCCCCACTCTCAGGAAGTTTCTCCTTAATTCCAGATTGCTTTTCTCTTTCTTTGACACTTCTCAGAAAACAACAACTGAATGGAAAACTGCTGGTGACCTTCTACCGCTGCACCATAGAGAGTATCTCAACTTACAGCACCTCTGTCTGGTTTGCCAATTGCACAGGGGCAGATAAGACAGCACTTCAGAGGGTTAACGTCATTGCCCAGAGGATCATGGGTTGCCCTCTCCCCTCTTTGGAAGAGCTTTATAGCTCCTGCTGCCTTAAGAAAGTTCAAAACATTCTCAAAGGCCCATCTCATCCTGGTCACCCCCTTTTTTTAAACTATTACCATCTGGCAGACAGTACAGGATAATAAGAACAAGGACAAATAGGCTGAAAAACAGCTTCTATCCCAGGGAAGTAGCTCTTTTGAATTCTACTGTAGAGTGCAGTGTTGGTGCATTGTTAGGGATTTTCGGTTCAATGTGTGGAGTGTGAAGGATGTGTTTATTTTATTATGTGTTTGTGTTTATTTTCATGGTCATGATGTGCACTGAAGATGGTGTTTGATTTTGTTGTACAAGGTGCAATGACAATAAACTAAACTAAACTAGACTCTTTGATTAGTTTCCAACTATTGTTTCTTGTCTTGCTTTCTGGTGCTTTGTAGAAAATCTCCTCCATATTGCTGCTAAGAAAATCATATGTGTGTGTCCTGGAAGTCATAGGAACTAGCTGGACCAGAAGGAGACTTTGCTTTTTAAGACTCTAAAAGCCTTTTGCTTTGAAGATTTTGTACAAAGTTCACCTTGGAAAAGAGACACCCTTGAAACACACGCCAGGAGTTTTCATACGGTCCGTTTTGGGGCTTCCGGTCCACACCCCTCAATGGAAAATCACTTCCAGCCATCAAAGAGAAGAGATGTCCCCAACAGCAAGCTAATCCTGGCTTACCTTCTTCATTTCTCTTTTCTAAGTCCTAACCTGAGCCACTCACCGCGTTGCTGTAAGGGACCCTGGCTGGTTTCCATCGACGGCTGGGCTGTCGACTCTGGTTCTCATAAACTTCCTGAATCACTTCCGAATAGTTGGTCTCTTTGTCCAGCAATAGCCTAGTCAGAAACACAGTGCAACAGGAAGTTTGGGCTGCCATCAGTGGAAGAGCTTTTCTCCTGGAGTTGTGCATAATAAATTTCCAAATGTAAATAAATTTCCTTTATTGCCTCCAACTTGGCTTCACTGTTCCATTGTTTGCAGTTGGAAATTAAACTCGTTCCAAAATAATATTCCAAAAGAAAGAAAGGCAGTCCAAACTCAAAGAGCAGATCACGGAGCAATAAAAAACCAAAAACAAACCGCACTGAAGAAAGTTCCGCGACAGACGAGGATAATTAATTACAAACTTCAAGAAGATAACAAGGCACAGTCTGTTGGAAGAACACCAACTAAGAGAAACCTCATCCAGGAATAAAACACGCTTTGCTTCTGGCAACTTTGTGTTTGAAAAGCCCTTCCTTTATACTACACTCCCCAGCTGCAACCAATGAGGGGATCATGGCTGCTTCCTCTCTCGCAAGCCAAGTTGTTGCCTTCTGCATTCCTCCCTGTGTGTCCTAGAATGGAGAGGGGATGGACCTGGTTCTTCCTCTGACCGCCCAGCCAGTCTCTGCCCTTCCCCAGCCTCCTCCAAACCTCCGGAGCCCCACTTCCACTCCCTGTCAGTTGTTCCTCCTCTCCCTCGGAGTCCGACTCTAACAAGGGCATGACAATTCTCCATCACTGAAAGCCTTCAAGAAAAGGCTGGACAGCCATTTGTCTGGGATGGAATAAGGACTCTATGCTGGCCCAGTCACTCTTACACACACACACACACACACACACACACACACACACACACAGAGCTAAGTGTGCTTTAGAGAGTTTATTGATGTTTCCCAGACGTTCCCTTCCCCCAGCCTCAGAACTGCCCTGAATAAATCCAGCCACAAGCAGCCCAAGATTAGTACACAAGGAAATAGCCAACAGTCCACAAGGCAATAGAAAGTTGGTCCAACAAGCAAGTCCACCCAGGGGTGTGATTCAACCAGTGTAACAACCGGTTTGGTGAGCACACACATTCACTGGAGTCCTTGGCGCACTGGTGATGTTACATAGTTGGGTAATGAAACATTTGCAAGCAAGCAACCCAGCTTAGGGAGCGCTAAGGACTCCACAGTTCTAAATTATTACTTTTATGGAATTTAGTTCCATAAAACTGGTTGGTTTTATGGGGTTTTGAGATCTTGTGAACCAAGAGTGTTTGTTTGTGCATGTGTGTATGTGTGTGTGTGTGTGTGTGAGAGAGAGAGAGAGAGAGACCGGGCGGGAGAGAAAAGGAGAAAAGAGAAAGAGAGGGAGAGAAAGAGAGAGAGATACAGAGAGACAGAGACAGACACACACAGAGAGAAACAGAGAGAGAAAGAGAAACAGACAGAGAGAAAGAAAGACAGACACACACACGCACTCATACACACGGAGACGGAGAGAGAGAGAAAAAGAAAAGAGAAAGAGAGAGAGTCAGAGACAAAGACACAGAGACAGAGACAGACACACACACAGAGAGACAGAGAGAGAAAGAGAAACAGAGACAGAGAAAAAGACAGACACACACACACACGCACTCAGACACACGGAGACGGAGAGAGAGAGAAAGAGAAAAGAGAAAGAGAGAGAGTCAGAGACAAAGACACAGAGACAGACACACACAGAGAGAGACAGAGAGAGAGACACACACAGAGAGAAACAGAGAGAGAAAGAGAGACAGAGACAGAGAGAAAGAAAGACAGACACACACACGCACTCATACACACGGAGACGGGGAGAGAGAGAGAAAGAGAAAAGAGAAAGAGAGAGAGTCAGAGACAAAGACAAAGACACAGAGACAGACACACACAGAGAGAGACAGAGAGGGAGAAAGCAGAGACAGAGACAGAGAGTGGGCGGAGGGAGAGAGAAAGATTACGTTAAAGGAAAAAAAGGAAATAGTTATTAAGTCCATCAGCTCACCTCCTCTGGGGTTCCACAGCCCACTCGCTGTCCCATTGCCAACCTGTGGGCGGCTGGAACGTGTCTTTGGGGAGGCTGACCTGTCCAGTCACATCTGAGAAGTTGGGGTGCGGCTTAAGATCCATGACTCCCCATATTCCGTGTGTCTTCTTTTGGTTTTCATACTGAAAACACCAGAACACAAACCCTCATCCATGAGCCAACACCGGGATGTCTTTGGAGCTCACTCTTTTAGACCTTTGGGACCCTTCCCTTAAATGTTGCCCTGTGACAGGAGCTCCGGAGACATGTCTTCCCCATAGCTGCCCCGTCATTCTGGAATATCCCTTTCTCCAAGATTTGGGGGGGCCCTTGTCCTCTTACCTAGGATGAAAAAGGAGCCCAACAATTATGGTGAGATATTATGGGGCCGTGATGTCTCATTTGGGGGTTTTGTGGGCATGTATAGATAGTCCTTGATTTATGACTATAATTGGACAGGAACTTTTGTCACACTGATGCTAAGAGCTAGTGAGATTTTCCCCCTGGAGTTGTCCTGGCTCATCTCACCGTTTCCGCGTAGACCGCGATCCTCCCTTCGCAACATCTCATGAAGTCTGCGCAGTCGGCCATCCGCCCCATCCACATTCGAACCCGGAGCACGGCAGGGATGGGGTTGTAATTCACTTTGCTTTGCATACCCTGGGAGGTGGGTGGGTGAGAACGAAAGTGTCAGGCCCTTCAACTTTCCTTTTGTTAATTATTAGGGTTGCAAATAGTAATAGCCCTTAGACTTATATCCCGCTTCACAGTGCTTTCCAGCCCTCTCTAAGTGGTTTACAGAGTCAGCCTCTTGCCCCACAACAATCTGGGTCCTCACTTGATGCACCTTGGAAGGACAGAAAGATGAGGGAGGGAGGAAAAGAGGGAGGAAAGAAGGAATGGAGGGAGGAAAAGGGAGGGAGGGAGGAAAAAAAGGAATGGAAGGAGGAAGGGAGGAAGGAAGAGCAACAGCACTTAGACTTATATACTGCTTCACAGTGCTTTTACCGCCCTCTCTAAGCGGTTTACAGAGTCAGCCTCTTGCCCCCAACAATCTGGCTCCTCATTTTCCCCACCTCTGAAGGATGGAAGGCTGAGTCAACCTTGAGCTGGTCAGGATCGAACTGTTGGCAATCGGCAGAGTTAGCCTACAACAGTGTACTCTAACTACTGTGCCAACACAGCTTCCTTCCTTCTGCTCATTTTCCTCCCTCCTTCCCATCTTTTCCTTTTTCCCTCCCTCTCTTCCCCCTTCCTTCCTCTCTTCCTTAGCAATAGCACTTAGACTTATATGCCGCTTCCCAGGCAGAGAATCGGTTGCTAAAATTTTTGAAGCCCACCCCTGCAGAAATGCTCTAGCAAATCCCGCACTGAGCAGGTGCTGGGACTAGATGATCTCTAAGAACCCTTCCCTCTCTATGGTTCAACAATTCTAGGGAAGATGGAAGGGCTTGTCAAGAACCAGAGAACCGGAAGGCATCAATTCCTGGGTTTCTTGGAGCAAAAATGACCAGAACCAAATGCATCTTGTTACCTTTAGGAAAAGGGTATGAGTTTTGCCACAAAGCCTGCCTTTGGCATAGGGGCCGTCTTTGGAGAACATTATGGCCTGGGACTTCACCCGCACATAGGCCACGCGTTGGTCCTCCAACAGCATCCAGATCGTCACATCGGGGATACTTATTTGAGTCTGAAAAGAGCAGAAGGAAAGAGAGGCAGCCATGACTTCCTGGTCTCACTGGTGCTTTTCTCGATAATCCTGATGCTTTCTGGGGGGCTGTTAAGATGACTAACAGAATAACAGAGTTAGAAGGGACCTTGGAGGTCATCCATCCGCACGAGAGCTTTGGCCTGTGCATCCCGACTTTGCATTAGGATGGAGCAATGCTACTTTTGTCTGTAGAGCTCCTCAGTCATCAACCAAGTCCTGGTGGCCCCCAAGATGTTTTTTTTTTCAGGAGGCAACTGGACTTTCCTGACTTTTCTTTTGAAGACGTTTAACTTCTAAAGAAGGTTCTTGGATGAGAAGCGAGGTGTCTTCAAAAGAGAAGAACAGAAATGATACATTGCACAATCTCCTGGGACGTTGCATCATCCAGGCTTCAACCAAACTTAGCTCAGACAACCTACAGAGCCAGCTATGACCTCTACAACAGCCAATAGAATACACGTTCTTACACAGGAACAGGAAGTTCAAGGGCAAAGCCCAAGAGAAGGTATAAACAA